GCTTGGTTTACATGGTAAACATCTTTCAAAAAAGGAAGAAAAATCCTAAAATCTTATGAGGAAAAAAATTTATTTTTTTAAAAATAGCTGAAAATTTATCGAATTTTGTTCCGGTTTTTTGGTTTTCCGGTTTTCTGATTTCCGGATAACTGGTTCTGCACTGTACCACTTTTTTTCTTTTTGAAAAAAAAATCAACCTTTAAAAAGGACACAAGGCACAAATGGGTTAATATTTTTTTTAAAAAAAACTAGTTTTAGGTTAAAAAAAATTAATTTGAAATTATTTTAGCACAAAGAAAATGTGTTAAAACATAAATTTAAATTTTAGTAAAGCATACCTACCAGCTGATTTTACAAACTTATAAAAATATAAATTACAAAGTATTAAGGGTAAGGTTTTTTAAAAAATGATCTACTTCGACAATTTTTATAGGCATAAAAGCAGAACTAATGATTCTTAAATACATATGTTTAAATTATTAATTTGTTATGATTGGTTCAAAAAATGTAAGATTTAATTTTTTAAATTACGATTTAAACGTTAAAATATAAACGTTGCTTCAAAATGTAAATAAAAATATTTTCTCAACGATCGTAAAAGTTGACAACTCTGGATATGCTTTTATTATTCCTTATAATACAGTAAAATATGGGTAAGTTGACTACCTGCGCCGTAGCTATCTAGTATCAAATGACAGAGGTGGTCAACTTGTACTCGTAGATAAGGAGAAAAATTTTCCATCATTTTTGATACAATGAATAGTTAGCTGAACAAAAACAAAAAGTGTTAATTTTATTTTTAACATTTTTAAGTTTTTCACGATTAAATTTTAACAACAAGAAAAAGATAGTTTGCGTTAAAAAAAAAATTTTCAAATATCTTAGCACAAAGAAAAAGTCTCAAAATATAAAATTAAAATAATTTATTTCAATTTTAATGTTTATCTATAATATAGTCAGGTGGTCCACTTATAAAAAGGAAGAAAAAAGATATGCGATTTATTTACATCATGAATTCATTTTTATTGCATCTAAATTGTTACTTATATTTTAATCATTACTATAACACGTTCACGCCGATGTGACCCACCGGTGGGTCACGCTAGATTGTCTCATCTTGGCAGCGCACCGGAGTAAAAACTGGTAACAATAAATTTCATTTTTTAGTTTTTTTCCGGGAATAATAAAAATCCATAACTACCAATTGTTTTTAACGGATGCAATTTTTATATTGAATTGCTTCTTCGCCGTGATAAATTTCCTTACAGGGAATTTTAATTGTTGAGAATAGATTAACTCCTCCCGAATATTATCTAATATTGAAATAGTTCTTCTACCAGTATTTTCTCTTTTCCGTCCCGCTTTCAGGCGCAACACCCGGCGTGAACGTGTTAAAAAAAACTGATATTTTAATTATTCTAATAAGAAGTTTAGACTCCAATGTTATTTTTAGCTTTTCCTCTAAAACTAATAACGTGAATTGATTTTTTTGCACTTATTCAAAAAATAGTTTACCAAGAGATAATTTAAATTAAAAAATAATGTTTGATAATTATTTCGCTATTTACTATTACATAGTTTAAGACAATGATTGAAAGATTTGAAATTTAAATTTGAGAAAGCTTACATTCTTTAAGAAAGTGTAATATTAAATGACAAAATCTAAAATTTGGAAAGGAATTGGTTGAATAGCTACTGAGACATAAAAATTTAAGAAAACAATATTTCTGATTTTTTATTGCTCAGATCTTTTATTGCTTTTTCAATATACAATGTGTTATTATCGGGGGCTAGTGAAGTAAAAAGATAAGAAAATTAAAGTATAGTAAAAAGTGCACCAAAACGTAAAGAGTAAAATATAAGTAAAATAAAATAAAAAGTACAATATAAAGTAAAGAACTCCTGTATCAAGGATTGGGAGAAATTTACCTCCATTGAGGACTTTTTGATGGAACTAGCCCGCATTTGCATCACAAGGAGAGGAAAACCACGAAACCTCCCATGGTTAGTCTAACAGCAAGAGGGTTCTAACTCATGATCCGTCTACCACTGAGAATATTTTACGTCAAGGAAAACAAACTGGGATCCAAGCCGGGTGCAGATTTCGTAGCCACCCGCCATTGCTAAGATTCGAACTTGGTTCACCTCATTAGAAGGCAAACGCTCTATCCCCTGAACCATCACGGCTCTGACCTGGAAATTATCATTTATTTAAACCCCTTGTTCCAACCCACGAACTCTCGGACATGGGCCCAGCGCCCTACCGACCTATCCCGGCTCCAAGAAATATCTAAACGTAATAAGAGAAATAACACAAAATATGTTATTGAAATTATTATCGGAGCAAATCACATTGAATTAAGGATTAAAAGTATCAAATAAACTTATCGGTCAGATAAGGCTAAAAGCCATCTTTTATTATGTCTATTCACTTCCTTTAACTGTTTTCGTTTCATTTGAGAAAATAACTGGCTCCCTGATTTTAATTCTATGGTTAACGTGATTGATCTCGCTGAAAATTCGTCAGATTTTTGTCACGATTTTGGATATCGTAACTCAAAATATCATCTGCAGAAATTAACTTATGTAAGATCAAACCCTGGAATTTTTAACACCGCATTTTACTGCATAAAAATCTAACCATCAGAAAAAAAAAATTCAAGAATTTTCATTTTGAGTTTTATGCATGCTTTACGCTTTTCTTTAATCATGTAAAAATAAAATGATTTCTAAAAGTTTAACACTGTAATTGGGCCTTTAACTTCAATATCATCATTTATGCTTTTTGCACCAATTATGGTATTAGAATTAGTAAATTACTTCCCATTTAATTTTTAAAAACGGTAGATATTAGATAAAAATAAAATCTTTCAATTTCACTTACTGCCAAAATATCTAATTCAAGTTAAAGCTTACAAATATTATTGATTGTCAAATACTTAGACATTGTAGATATTTTTAGCTTTTTAAACATTCTTCGCTATTTATTAAAAAATTATCTTATGTAATGCAATATACAACTGACATTGTTTATATTATTCATAAATTGCATTGCTTAATTTGCACACAAATTACATTATTTTGTGATATAGTAGATAATCATCCCTTTCATTTAGCATTACAACTTGGTATCAATATAAGTTATCTAAATTATATTGTATTTGCTTGTATTTAACATTTCAATGTCTTGAATAAATTATTTATTATATGATTTAGAGCTATCTCACAGAACGCAATTTTAAATTAATGTTTGTGATCTGACTCTATTTCATATATCTGTGATCAAAATTGTTGTTTATGGTTTAAGTATGTCTCATAAATATCTTATGTGATCATTTCTTCATTATTAAATAGTTAATAAATTTTTCATTCAAATTATCATCTATGTTAAGTTATTTTATTATCACATATGGTTTGAAACTATCTTTGTTATTTTACATATTTCTATCTGAAAAATTACTTATTAAATATCATTCATAATTTAAACTTATTTAACTTACTTCAAATGGCAAGGCCATGAAATATTTTGATATATGTTTCTTGTTTTATACTTTATGCTCATAAGGACAAAACAAAATTATTTCCTTTTGAGTCATCTGTGGTGCATTTAAGTTCAAATATAAAAATTTTCAAATCCTTTTTAGAAATTGTCAGCTTAGTGCAAATGTTAAGAAATTAATTCTAATTTATTAAAAAATTCCTCTGCCTCCCCGTAGGTATATTTAAATTAATAGGAGAAAATTCAATTAAGATTAGAGCATTTTAGTTATCATAAAACACCGTCATTATAGAATGTAACATCAGAGGGGTAGTAGACCAATATTTAAAATTATTAATTACCCTTAATTTACACTAGGTTTTACGCCTATTAAAGTATTTTAAAATTTTTGAGTTTTAATTCTTAACTTACCATAGACTATCAGACCAATAGAAATTATTTTACCTTGCATATTGCGTATGCAAATATGTAATAAAATAACTGATATTTTGTGACATTGCTTCAGAAGCTATGTTCAAAATCTTTTATTTAAGTTATTGATTATGATATTATTTTCGAATTTTCTTGTCTAAATTTAAATTTCTCTAATTCGTTGTTGT